AAATTATACCTGGGCTCTGCCTATAGGTAGTGAAGGTCCATAGGACCTGCTGGCGCACCAGTGTGTCACCGACTGGCCATAACCAAGTACGACTCAACCCGCCGGCAGACCCGGATTGCACGCCTTTTAGGCATCCTAATTGGTCGCCGGCTGGTTGAGCCTCCGACATCGCCGACCCGCTCCAGCCCCTACTTTTGTAGAGTGCGATCAGGGGAATGGCGGTGCCTGGAGTGAGTCTTGCTAGGTCGTTTCGCTCCACCGGTTGCCGAGGGCCAGTTGCTGTAAGAATTCACCCGCTGCCGCATATCATCCGCTGTTGCCGAGAGGCACCCGCTGTGCCGCCGCCGCTGCCCAACCGTTGCTCAACAGTTGTTGAGAATCACCCGCCGTGCTGCTAGCGCTTCCGCCGTTGCTCCGCTGTGCCGCCGCCGCTGCCCAACCGTTGCTCAACAGTTGTTGAGAATCACCCGCCGTGCTGCTAGCGCTCCCACCGTTGCTCAACCGTTGCTCCGCTGTTGCCGAGAGGCACCCGCTGTGCCGCCGCCGCTGCCCAACCGTTGCTCAACAGTTGTTGAGAATCACCCGCCGTGCTGCTAGCGCTCCCGCCGTTGCTCAACCGTTGCTTCGCTGTTGCCGAGAGGCACCCGCTGTGCCGCCGCCGCTGCCCAACCGTTGCTCAACAGTTGTTGAGAATCACCCGCCATGCTGCTAGCGCTCCCACCGTTGCTCAACCGTTGCTCCGCTGTTGCCGAGAGTCACCCGATGTGCCGCCGCCGCTGCCCAACCGTTGCTCAACAGTTATTGAGAATCACCCACCGTGCTGCTAGCGCTCCGGCCATCATCCGCTCCGACCCGACCGCACGACCACAACGAACGTCACCTCTCTCTTGCTCTCCCTCTCTTTGGACATAAGGTTGCTAGCACTCTAGTCGTAGCGCCGTGTGTGTGTGTGTGTTCGAAGTAAATACACGAAAATAGTGTGTTTTATTTGGTGGGGGTTAGTGGGACCTTCGCCGGACTCTGGATCGGCTGAGTTCACCTCAGCCTTTGACAAAACCCACCTCATAAATGGCGCCCGAGCAGGGACCCAGCTCTGCAGGCGCATGTGCAAAAAATTTTTCAAGCACCAACACTGCGGAAGCGGGCTCGCCGAACACACCACAACCAACAGATGACACACGCGCCAGCGAGAGCAAAACCAATACGCTGAACGTCGACTCCCTCAGCTGGATATACCTGTTAAAGAAGGAGAAGTTGATAGAAGAGTGCAAGCGACATCGAATTTTCGTAGAGGGATACACAGTCGCCGACCTGCGCAACGCGCTTAGCGCATATATAAAAGCAAAGCGCAACCGCAAGTCAACAGAGGATTTACTGAGAGACCTAGAAGAAGAGGTCAAAGCAGAAGAGGACAGGCCAGTAAAGTTGCAACCCAGCACTATTCCCACCGTCCGGATCGACAACTGTAGTCCACAGCCAGGGGAAATGAAGCGCACAGCATCAAAGCGTAATGAGATCAGCGACGCCGAGCTGATGAATACTGTCCGTCGATGGGACGTACACTTTGCAGGAGGCGACACGCTACACGACTTCCTGGAGAGAATCGAAGAACTAGCCGAGTGCTACCGCATCCCACTGGACAACCTCCTCCCAACCCTACCTGAAGTACTGCGCGGGAAGGCCCTCCAATGGTTCCGCGTGCGAAAGTTACAAATCCACTCGTGGGCAGCATTCCGTACAGAAGTTGAGCGGTTCTTCCTCCCCAGGCAACACATGAGCCAGCTTGAAGAAGCCATCCGGCAGCGACGTCAGCAGAGCCGAGAGAAAGCCAAAGATTATATCTTGGCCCTACAAACGCTGATACGCCACCACCCGACTATGTGCGGAGATGATCACCTGGAGCGAATATACGATGGCTTGCGCGTGGAATACCGCCTTTTTGTCAAACGGGGAGAGTTCAAGACGATCGAGGAGCTGATGGATCTCACTGATGAATTTGAGCTTCTGAAAGGCGAGGAGGCCAGGATGCCAGATAGGCAGCTCACAGCCTAGCTCCCCTAGAAGAGAGGTACAACAGAGAGGAATCCTGCTAGCGGTGCAAGGGACGCGGCCACCTCCGCTTCCGATGCCGAAGGACGAAAAGACTGTTCTGCTCTAGGTGCGGCCGAGACAATGTCCTCTCCAGAGATTGTTCGTGCAACACTGCCACCGTGAAGCCGCCCCGCAAAATACGCGGCACCAGAACAGTTCCGATAGCCGCCGCTCCTGTGAGTACTAACACCCAACCAGGAGGAAAAGTAGATGGTCGCTACTATATCGATGTGAGCGTCGAAGGTATGCGCGTACGAGCGCTACTAGACACCGGCGCAACGCTCACCTACATCGTCGAATCTATACGTCAACACCTAGAAGAGAGGAAAATCCAACATCAACCTACCCACCGAAACGTACAACTGGCCGATCAAACATGCGTCTCCAGCTTGTACACTTATCCAGTAAGAATAAAGTTTAACGAGCGAGCGACAACAACACTTGCCTCGGCACTCCCAAATCTCGCAGAACGCATGATCTTGGGGATGGACTTCCTCAGAGGCAGAGGAATTGTCCTTACGCTAGACGGACAATCACTGCCCGCAGCCATCCCGCGAACGACAGATGCACCATCCCAGCTGTGCGCCCTGATCGAGAGAGAACACCTGAGCAAGGAGCAGAATAACCAGCTGGCCGAATTCCTGACACACCACAAGAAGACCTTCAGCGGAATCTCCGGACCCAGTACCGCCGCCGAGCATGTGATCACTCTCAAACACAACCGGCCGCTGAAGCAGCGCTACTACCCCCGCAACCCGGCTATGCAGCAGGTGATCAACGCTGAAGTCGATGAGCTGCTGGCAGCTAAGCGGATCGAACCATCAAAGAGCGCGTACAGCTCACCGATTGTCCTAGTTCGGAAGAAGCAAGGAAGCTGGAGGATGTGCATAGACTACCGCCAGCTCAACGCTGCCAGCGAACCAGACGCATACCCACTGCCCCAGATTGGAGCAATCCTCGACCAACTCAGAGAAGCGAAGTACATATCCACCATTGATTTGAAAAAACGGCTACTGGCAGATACCCCTAGCCAAAGGATCTCGGCCATATACCGCCTTCACCGTCCCAGGGAGGGGGCTGTTCCAGTGGAAAGTCATGCCGTTCGGATTACACTCCGCTCCAGCGAGATTCCAGCGCGCTCTCGACGCGATTCTCGGCCCGGAACTCCAGCCGAAGGTATTCGCGTATCTAGACGACATCATCGTCCTAGGAGACACCTTCGACGAGCACATGAGCAACCTACGAGAAGTGTTCGAACGCCTCCAGAGGAAGAGGATGCAGGTGAACTTTGACAAATGTAGTTTTGTGCAACAGAAGCTCCACTACCTCGGCCACATCGTCAGCTCTGCGGGCATACACACTGATCCTGCAAAAATATCCGCCGTACGAGAAATGCCAGCGCCTCAGAACATCCGAGAGCTTCGTAGATTCCTCGGTCTCGCATCATGGTACCGCCGCTTCGTCGCCGATTTTTCCACGATTTCAGCACCACTCAACCAACTGCTGAAGAAAGGCCAGGCTTGGGTATGGGGCACACCACAATCAAATGCATTCCTGACATTAAAAGAAAAGCTCACGAACGCGCCAGTACTCTGCTGCCCCGACTTCAACCGCCCTTCTTCCTCCAAACCGACGCCAGCGGAGAAGGGCTCGGAGTAGTCTTGTTCCAACGCCACTCCGACCACGAGAGAGTCGTGGCGTACGCCAGCCGAAGCCTAAACGACCTGGAGAAGCGTTACTCAGCCACCGAACAAGAGTGTCTCGCTGTGCTATGGGGGATACGCAAGATGAGACCGTACCTGGAAGGATACCACTTCACCGTAATCACCGACCACCACTCGCTGAAGTGGCTACACTCGCTGCAGAACCCATCCGGACGACGAGCAGTATAATTTTGACATCGAATACCGTAAGGGAGCACTGAACATAGTAGCGGACGCACTCTCGCGATGCCCACTAACAACTACCGATGACGGAGCAGACACGCTCTACACCGTGGAAACCATCGCAGCGATTGGTACGAGAGGAAACTGAAGGTGGTACAGCAACAACCTAGCCGCAACCCGGAATACCAAATCATTGACAATAGACTGTTCCGCCACATCGCGCCGCGCAACAAGCTCTCCCGCGCACCTCAATGGAAGCTCTGCATTCCCACCAGTCGTAGACCAGACATCCTGCAAGAAGTGCATGACGCCGCAGCGGCCGGCCACTTAGGTGTCAAGAAAACTGTCAAACGAGCGCAGCAGAATTACTATTGGCCTGGGATGTACCGCGACGTACTCAAGCACGTGAAAAGATGCCTGCCCTGCGCCGAGTATAAGGTGGAACAAAGACGCCCAGCAGGATTGATGGCCACCATGCAGTGCTCACGCCCATGGAAGATCGTCACGGCCGACTTCGTCGGACCGCTGCCATGCTCCAAACAAGGAAACACGTGCCTCCTCGTCCTGGACGACAAGTTCTCCAAATGGGTTGAACTAGTCCCCGTATGCCAAGCAACCACCGCAAACGTCATCAAAGCACTCCAGGAGAGAGTCATCTACAGGTTCGGCTGCCCCGCCGTCTTTCTCAGCGACAACGGGAACCAATTCGTGGGCAAAGCGCTAGCAGCATTCCTCGGCGAACATCGCATAGAACATAAGTTCACCGCAGCATACGCCCCCCACGAAAACCCGACCGAGCGAGCCAATCGAGTAATAAAAACCATGATAGCCCAGCGCTCAAAGGCGGATCACCGCACCTGGGACCAGGAGCACCCCAGATCGCCTTCGCTATGAACACGGCTCAGCACGAATCCACGCAAGCTTCCGCCGCGGAGATAAACTTCGGGCGCAATCCAGCAGCGCCACAGCAGATACGCTCCGAAGGGGCAGTACCTGAAGAGCACCCCGCAACACCTCCAGCCATCACCGAGTTATGGACAGAGATAAAGGGGCACCTCACCGCAGCAGCCAAGCAGCAGAAAAAATATTACGACCTGCGCAGACGGCCGTGGAAACCTAAGGTGGGAGAGAAGGTTATGAAGCGAGATCAACCACTCTCCTCTGCTGCCGACAACTATGCACAGAAGCTTGCTCCAAAATTCTCAGGCCCATACATAATTGCCAAGTACATATCTACCAACACGGTGAAACTCAGCAACCCCGAGCGGCCCGACAAACAACAAGCGCATGCACACCTGCAGGACCTAAAACCATTCACCGCATAAACAACCGACTACCGCGGCCGCAGCGACAAAACCAAAACCACTCTCCATCTTCTCGTTACAGGTTTTTAGAATTAGTCGCTTCAGACACACCGCAGTGATGAGCCGCCGGAAACCCCATCCAGCTCCGCCAGACGAGCCACAACGCTTCCGACCGTGGCGACCGCCATTTGAGAGCACGCCGTGGCCACCAAACAAACCACGGATTCAGCGGATTCAGATTTTTCACGGGCCACCGCTGATACCAGCCACCGTGACAACATCCCAGCCGCTATTGGCCGTACGGGAATTGGTCACCGTCAAAAACGGACCATCTACCCCAGTCAGCTTGCGTCCGCCCACCGCCAGCGACACCAAACGCGAAAACACGGCGACCGTCAGCCCACCACGCGGAGAGGACACGGCCGAAAATGAAACGCGTGAAAACAGCCGAAGCGAGACCGCCAGGGGAGAGCATCCCACAGGCGCGCAACTGCTCGAAGCCGAGATGAAGGACTTTCAGGAGCATTTTAAATTGAAGCGCCCCACGAAAAAAGGACGTCCTGGATGCAAAAATACAAGCACAAACCGGTCCTGATCACGCAAAAAGGGGCAGACCACGCCATTGTTAAATACCAAGGCGTAAAATACAGGATGAAGTTCGTCGATTAAAAGGCGCGCACAACCAGCCAGCCCGCTCCAACGCGCTCTACCCACATTGGATCTCACCGATTTTGTTCCTATTATCATATATTTGAAATATTAATAGATTTAAGCAATTTATCATTTTTTTCCCATGTATGTATATAATATAAGTAAAAGCAACTATACACGTAGAACGTGCCCGTACAAATTTAAAAAACAAAAAAAAAAAAAAAAAAAAAAA